TATTCGTTTATAGGGTATAATTATGCTGCACTCAATTTAATTACGCTGGCGAATGCCGTGACTCAGACTCGTGCACGGGAATTGCTCAGTGGCTTTTATGGGGCCACAAGTCGATGCTTATTAAAACTTCACACTTTCAAGCATTCGTGCCACGCCTCCCCGCGAATGGGGCGCTGTTTTAGTTAACTGCTCCCAGGCGTCATTATTGCCATACTTATTGGTATTTGCAACTAGTGGGCGGGCAGGCAGGTAGGTGCCTGAAAACTGTTAACTGAAAACTTCTAGACTCTCGTGTTCGATGAGAAGAGGCGCGCAACAATTTGCAAGTCCGGGTGTGGCTAATTGAACTTGTTGATGATGGCGGCAAATTGCTGCCACAAGACGCCTTCCGAAAGCTTTCACTTTGCATTTGCAATCTGCACAAAGACATACTCACACATGCACACATGTATATGTGTGAGTGTGTGTCTGTGTTTCGCTAATTGATGTCAAATGCGATTTCAAGTATGCAAAGGAACTCATGCAAGTTATTTTCCTTTCAGCGACACACGATTAGGAAATGAAGCACTTGAAATGCTCATGCAATTTTCATGGGCTTTTCCTGATACAAAATTTGTTTTGAAATGCTTAATAGATTTTATGGCCAAAAAGTTTTTAAATGAAGCCCATTTATTCGGTGTAAGAGGATATTGAAATAAAATAAATCTAGATAACTAAAAACAGATTTAAAAGCTTCAATTCTAAAAAAGTCAAGCTCAGAATATATATTTTTAATTTATTTCTATTTTATTTAATTATTCATATTTTATTATATAAAATTATTCTTTTATTTTGTTCTTTGGGGATTTGGGTGGTTTCTCAATTTTATGTAATGATTGATATAAAATTAAATTTTTTAAATAAGTATTATAATTAATATTAAATATTATTATAGTGTTTTATTTATTTTTTTATTTTATTTTATATTTATTATTATTATTATATTTTTATTTTTTACGAAAATTTACTTAGCAAGTTAATAAATTGCTTCCTTAAAAAAAAGTCTCCACAATATAGCTACGCCACAGCCTCCGTAAATAGTCAGTGAGCTTAAGCTAAAATAAATCTGTAGTACTTTGCCATAGCAGCCAGCAGCCTTGAGCTACTACCACACGCAGTGCTCAACAGGCTTGTCGCAAATGGCATTAATATCAAGTAAGCCATTTAAAAAAGGAAAAAAAAGGAATGAAAAGAAAAGAAAATATGACGCACAAAATTGGGCTTAAGGAATCAATAATGACCAATTAGAAGCGACGCCTTAAATGGGAGCAGCAGGCCGTTGCATGGCAAAAATAATTAACGCATCAGCAGGAGCAGCAGCAGGAGCCGGCAGTAATAACAGAGGCTGCGAAGCCCGACGAGAGCAGAAGCTGCTGCTGAAGCGCTGCTTCAGGTGAATAGTGGCCCATAATTAATATTTTTTTTTTTCCATTTTTTTGTTTGCCTCTCTGACTAGTTGAAAGCTGTGCAGAGCAAAAGCTGGAGCAAAGATAGCTTCAGACGACTGCAAAGGTTGCCGGGACAACGACTAAGCGGCAATTAGACAGAAAAAAAATGTGAAAATGATTGAAAGGGAAGTGAAACGCAGCAAGAGAAGCTAAACGACAGGCTAATACTCTGAGAAACGAGTAGACGAAAATATTGCAACTGTAAGAAAAAAAGAGTTAATGGAAAAGAGCTCAAAGACGATATTGTCTGAGGTATGAGAAGAGCTATTAAATCAATAAGAGCATATATAGTAGTAGTATATGCTCTACATTAACTAGTTTACACAGGGTATATGGAAAATTTCCTAAAGAGCCTGACAAGCCGGGCAGCAAACTTATGCGGCCCACTGTTGCGCAGCGTTTGATAAGTTAGCTGGCCAATTAAAGCTTAAAGAGCCAGCGACAAAGACGTCGGATGGCGAATGGTAGGTGAGCTAAGGTGGGCATATATTTTGCACTTACCTGCGCTGATATGCGTCCCTTCTTCAGGCGCGTGAGATCCGTGTGGCTCCAGTGGCTGCGCGCCCAGGGCACCACGTTGCGCAAGTCCTCATCAAAGCTGCGAAAAATTGCAAAGAAAAAAAAAAATGAAAAGAAGTGATGGAAAAATTATAAAAGACGTTCGCTTAAAAATATATGAAATATTAATTGCATCTGCGTATTGCTCACTTGAAGTCGTTGAGTCTGTTGTGGAGGAACTTGCGTATATTCCAGGGTAAGTCATTATGCCCATCGATTAAAGGCACTTGATCCAAGAGCTGTACGGCAACGCGCAAACGCTCCTCAAAGGGCGCACCTGTTAAAGCAAAAAAAAAAAAAAAAAATGAGAGAGTGAGAGAGAGAAGGTAAAAAGTGAGTGTGTGGCCCATAAAACCAAGTTAGCAGCAGCTACTAACTAACTTGAACGCATTAACACGACACACAGACAGAAAGGCAACACCCACACACATGCGCACGCACACATGCATAACGTCTCTTGACACTTTGAGCTTTGGCTACGTGTCGTATGCGTTATGGTAATTGATTTATTGTCCGGTATCTGAAAGCGGAAATAAGGTCTACACAGTCTGCACACTACTCACTTGCAGCCACACGTAGCGCCAGGGGCACGGCCACACTGGCAGCGCCAATTATCAAGAGTATCGAGCTGACTGCCAGCCAATGCTTGGCCGCATCGAAGCCTGGCCAATGTTACGTATACGCAACGTATTGCCAGTAAGCAGGAGCAGCAGCAACATCCCCAGCAGGAGCAGGAGTAGGAGCAGGAGCAGCATCAGCATTCATGATGATGACCAGGGACAGCGATTCATGATGTTGTTGTTGTTGTTGTTGTCATCCATGTTGTAGTTGTTGTTGTTGTTGTTATGAGTAGTTCAATGCCAAGTCGTTTGTAGTGCCGTAGAGAACAACGGCGTCGTTGTCGTTGTCGTCATCATCATTGTTGTTGTTGTTGTTGGTTGTTTTGTGTTGCATTTTGTGTGTGTGCAAATTGCCGTGACAGTGGCATTGATTACACCAACAACAACAGTTGTTGTTGTTGCAGTTGTTTTTATTTTCCCCATCATTGTGTAGATAGAGCAGCGAAGCAGATAGAGCATCAGCATCAGTGGAAGAAAGTATAATAAGGAAATATGGTTAGTTAAACGTTTAAAATTGAATTGCTTAGTTGGTTTTACTTGACAAAGGGCGAACAATTTCTATCTTAACTGACTCAACTGAGTTGAGCATTCCTTGAATGGCAGTGTGAGTGTATGTGTGAGATATTGGCTCAATTATTATGCAATTCGAAGCACTCAATGAGTTATTATGTCGCATCAATATAGAAGCGAGTAGAAATTAAATAAGCGGCAATTGCTTAAGCTGATTATGTGTGACAGTTGAAAACATGAAGGTCAATTATTTAATAGTAAATTACACTCTTGCCAATGACAAAGGAAAGTTAGACGTCTTCTTAGAGCTACTTAGAAAGTCTTTGGAAACTTGACTTTAATCTGCATTGTAAACTTGTCATTT